CCGCCTCCCTCCCGTCCCCCGAGGCCGCATTCCCTCATGCACAGACCGCAGACACGCAGTCTGTCCAGACGACGCGGAGCCTCACGTCCCGTCGCTGCCCCACACACACGGGCACACACGCGGGCACACGGGGACGCGCAACCCCACACGGAGAGGCACTCACAGACACACACCCCACGGGCGCCCCCGAGGGACACACGCGATACACAGGGACAACACGCTCCACAGACACACAGATGACATACCCAGGGACACAACACACCCCACAAAGACACCCCCACAGATGCCACGCACAGACACGCACTTCAAAACACACATCACACGCGCACAGGTTACACGCGCCACAGGCACACCGTGTGACACGTGCACACATGCGGACCCGCACCACACACACCAGAAACACCGCACGCTGGCAGGCACCACAACCCCTACCCTCCCACAGTTGAGGTGTCCCAGAGACCCAAGCCCACACTTTCCGGGTCACCTGCTGACCCGGAGGCCACAGATGCCTCCCTGCTGGCCCCCTGTAGGGGGCTGTCTGTCCAGCAGCATGCCCCTCCTCCCCCCACCGCAAGCACAGCCTGAACTTGGGGTGGCCAAGAAGGGGGGTGAGGAGGGAGAGTGCGTAGCCATGAGGGGATGGGCCCCTTTCCAACTGTTCCCAGGTCCTCACCCTCTCACCGTGCCCCAGCAGTGACCTCTGGGTCCTCTTCCCAGGGGTCCTAAAGGGCCCCTTTTCACTGGTAAATTTCCATTCAAGGCTGGCAGTGTTCAGCGCTCCCGGCTTCCAGGGAGCTTCATGGCCGGAAGGCAGGAAAAGCTCCTGTTTTCCTCAACCTTGGACCTATCTGAGGCACTGGGGGGGAAGCCAGGTGTACCCCATCTCAGCTCTGTGATGGCCTGTCTGTGCCTCTCACTCCGTGCAATCACAGCCCACCCCATCCCACCCCATCCCTGCCACTGGCCATGGCCAGTGTGGGGGCCAGTGGGAGCTGGGTCTAGTTGGGGGGGAGGGGGAGGAAGGCAAATTTAGGAGAGGCAGGAAAATCACTGCTCCTTTCTCCAGAGTGTTCTCCACCCAACAGGCCTCTGTACTCCCTGCAGGGGTGGCTCCTTAACCCCCTTTGCAAATAAGGAAAGTGAAGCCAGCAGAGGTTAGGGGTCTCGCCAGGCCGTGCTGGCCCTGACGAGCTAGAGCTGGGACTAGCCGCACACACAGGAGTTCTCTCATAAGCCACTCTCACTGAGCCACTCTTTGTTGGGGAAACCAAGGCCCAGAGAAGTTCATCTCTTCTCAGGTTTGCACAGTTATTGTGTGTTGAAGTCAGGATTTAAATTCAGCATGCACAGGACATACCAACCTTCCTCTTCATGAGAGGAGCCCACATCTCCCGCTGAAGGCAGTGCTGCGGCAGCTCCCTCTTCCCAGTGCGAGTGTGGAGGGGCTCTGGGGGACCCTTCCTGTAGCATTTGGGGCACCTTGGAGGCAGGGAGAACCAGGGAGAAAGGGATTTATTTGCAGGAGATGGAATGTGGGGAGGACACGGAGACGGGCAAGCAGAAGGGCAGGAACAAAGGGCCTGTGGCAGTGGGAAGCTTCGAAGTTTCCTGGAGGGTGGCTGCACCCACGACTCCAGGCAGGGGCCTGGTTGGACAGGAGGGTGCAAGGGGTGCCGCTGAAGGTGTGGAACCCGAGTGAAGCCAGCCCCACGCAGGACTCCGGGGACACGGCTGCCCCGTGGGCTTACTGCAGGTGGCTCACTCTTATGGACTGAAGGCTTGTGTCGCCCGACATCCACGTGTTGGGGCCTAATCCCGGTGTGAAGGTATAGGAAGGTGGGGCATTGGGAGGTGATTAGGTCATGGGGGTGGAGCCCTCCGGAATGGGATTTCCTTAAAAAAGAGACCCCAGAAAGCTAACCCACTTTCTTTCTGCCAAGTGGGGACACAGTGAGAAGTGGGAAGTCTGCGACCCAGAAGAGGGCCCTCATCAGAGCCTGACCCTTCCAGCACCCTGATCTTGGACTTCCATTCTCCAGAACGTGAAGAATGAATTTCTGTTGTTTAGAAGCGCCCAGTCTCTGGTAATT